GGTGAGGTTTGAGGTGTGTGCAATGAAGCATAACTTTGACTACAGAGTTATCAAATCCAATAAATCAGTTTGGTGTATTAGATGCGCTGATAATGTTTGCAATTGGGGTGTTCGAGCTGCATGTATGAACGGGTCTACATATTTTATTATTAAGAAGTATGTCGGTACACATTCTTGTGCACCTTCTAGCAAAAGTAGATCCGGTAAGACAGCTTCAGTGAAAACAATAGGAGGCCTGATCAAGGCTAAATATGAAGGCGTCAAAGAAGGTCCTAAAGCGAAAGATATTGTTCAGATTATGCGTGATGATTATGGATGTGAGATATCTGAATCCTTGGCGTGGGATGCTCGTGAATTTGCAATCAGCGCCATCAGAGGTATTCCAGAGCTAAGCTATGGTAAAATACCGAAGTATTTGCACATGCTGCAAGAGGCCAATCCGGGAACACACTCCGCTTATGAGACTGACATCAATGGTCGATTTCTCTATCTTTTTTTAGCATTTGGTCAGTCGATTAGAGGCTTTAACAAAGTCATGAGGCGTGTTATTGTTGTTGATGGAACATTCTTGAAGAATAAATTCAAAGGAGTTCTATTGGTTGCCACTGCTTTAGATGGAAATTCAAATTTGTACCCTATAGCTTTTGGGGTAGTAGACTCTGAGAATGATCATGCTTGGGAATGGTTTATGAGACGATTGAAAGAAGTTATTGCTGATGATATGGAGCTGGCTTTTATTTCGGACAGACAAATGTCTATAGGGAAGGCACTTGAGAACGTGTATCCGCTAGCAAAACATGGGATTTGTATTCATCACTTGTTGAACAATGTGATTTCAAATCACAGAGGAAAGGGGTTAGCTGGGTTGATTTCTAAGGCTTCAAAGGCTTATAGAGTGGATGATTTCAAGAAGATGTTTGCTCATATTTGCAATATCAGTCCACTAATAGGAACTTATCTAACGCAAGCTGATGTTCGAAAGTGGGCTAGATGTTAATTTGTTGGATACCGGTATGACATTGGAACAACCAATCCTGCTGAATCCATTAATTCTGCCTTGCGCACGCCAAGAGAGTTTCCGGTAATTCCTTTGCTGGACAGCATTAGAGAAATGCTAACACGATGGTTTTTAAAGCGTAAGAGGAAGATTTCAAAGCATACGCATCCTTTGACCATAGATGTGGAGGTAAAGATTGATAGGAGAATCCAGAAAGGTAAAACTTTTGTAGTTTACCCTGTAAACGACTATCAGTTCCTTGTTAAGGGTGATACAATTGACTGCTTCGTTGATTTGGATAAACGGATGTGCTCATGTGGGAAGTACAACCTCTTGAAAATTCCTTGTAGACACGCGATTAAAGCTGGTTTCTTTGTTGGCAAGCAACCACACACGTTGACTGATTTGATGTACACCACGGGAGCTTGGAGAGAAGCTTATCAAGAAAGCATAAATCCCATTGCTGTTCCTGAAGATGCTTGGTCTGTCCCTGAAGATGTAGAAAATTCTGAAGTGTTACCGCCTGAGACAAGAAGGTCTCTTGGAAGAAACAGAAAAAAAAAGATATGAAACCGTTGAAGACAAAATTCGATCATCACAAGGATCACAGGGACCTAAGCTTCGCAGGTGCAGCAGATGTGGTTTTGGTAGCCACAACAGATCAACTTGCAAGATGCCAATATAGTCGCTTTGTTTACTGTTTTTTTCACCACTTTGTTTCAGATTTTCAGAATGTATTTGGTTTGTTCTGAACAAGTTTGTTTCATGTTTCAGTTTCGAACAAGTTTGCTTCATGTTTCTAGTAATACGCATTTAGTTTCAAACAAGATTGTTTCTATTCTCATATGATATGCTGTAAAAACCCATTCAGTTTCAAACAAATATACACCAATCGAAAATGCTCAGTCGCATGAGATCGATCGATCTAGAAAGCAAGAGGTCGATCTGATCGGTCGATCGTGTGATTAATCAGAAATTTTAAAATTCGCGGACCATACTAGGATCGACCTCATCGAATTAAGTCGATCGACACGATCGATCGCACGTGGATCGATCGATCCTTACTGTAGAACGATCGATCGTGTGGAAAATTATCCCAAATCGATTAAATTCGCGGACCATACTAGGATCGACCTCATCGAATTAAGTCGATCGACACGATCGATCGCACGTGGATCGATCGATCCTTTCTATAGAACGATCGATCCTGTGGAAAATTATCCACAGGATCGATTTTCTTTAGATAAATCTTAATTTGTTCATTCTAAATTTCACTTATTAAACTACTTCTTTGAAATGAAACACAACATTGCAACATAAACCAACATTTCCTTCATAATCCTGATTCTTCAAGTTAGAATACAAACCGACTAAATATAAACATAACATAAACATCATTAAAAGTTAAAAAACATGGAAATAACTGATCAGCAGTGGTCGTCAGGACTGCAACTCCTACTCTGTCCTGGTGCACGTCTGCTTCTATGGAAGCGTGAAGATCGCTCTGCATTTGCTGCTCCACTGGGTGGTGCATCTTCCGCGTCATCTGCCTCTGTAGTATCAGCAGGTTCTGAAGCCTCTGGAGCGCGGCAGCAGGCAGGAGGTGGTGGACATCTAATCTTTGCAAGTGCACCCCAAACAGTCTGCATCATCGTCGAAAGCTTCACCAGGGTATCTGCAGTCCAGGCGAACTGCTGCTGATGCGTACCATCTAAGGGTGGGGGTCCAGAATCAAACTGACCAGTATATGCAGGTAACAAATACTCCATGGTAGGGTCTGGAGTATGATCCACTGCGATACCAGGAATGGTGTCATCCTCACATTGAGCAGGACCCGAAGAAGAAGAACCACGACGACGTTTTGAAGGTGGTGGAGGAGGCGTGATAAGAAGCTCAGCAGGAGGCATGAATTCTAAGTTCTCCTCAGACGTCAGAGATGTAATGCTGGGCTGTGGAAGCTTGCAATGAAGAATGGTGCCATCAGGTTTGGTAAAACGATAGATTTTACCAGGGAGGAGAGTCCTGGTGTTCTGAAAAAACTGGGCATCAAATCTGGCAATCGTATCCACACAAGGAGTCTTCGAAAGATCTATTTTATGGTACTTGAAGATACGAGTAAGTAGACTACCAATAGACTCCTCCAAAGGCTTCTTATTAAGAGGACGAACACCTCTAAACTTCCTTTCAAACAACATCTGAGCAAACAATGCTCCCATGTTTACCGAAAGCTCTGCTGGAGGTTCTTGTCTAATGCCATACTTTGGCCTGAGATTTACTGGAAGCCCATAGTGAATAAGCTGCGCTTCATCCTCAGTAAGTGATCCTGCTTCTTCTTTTCCCAATAGAAGATGACCCAAATATTTTAAAACCACTCACAAAACCGGGTTTCTGACCATAGAAATTTTAGCTTCCCTAGAAACAGTAGAATCGTCTGCAATCTCATGCCACAACATATAAGCACAAGGGAACTTGGGCAAAGAACATCCCTCATATTTGGTCTCAAATCCGAATAGTGTACACAGCTCGTGTATAGACATCTCATAAAGCAGTCCATTGGATAGGAATGTAAGTTTACCTTCGCTAGCAAACTTCTTTGCCTCGGACTGGTAGTGCAATTCAACTGAAGAGAGGAATTGTATAACTAACTCTGGATACATTGGTTGAGGATCATAACCAAGAGTCCCAAGTCCCATGTTTTTCCACATCTTCTTCACATCACGCAGGATTCCCAATTCCCTTGTAGTGAAGTCACAGATGAACTTTGTTGATTTCGATGTCATCCGCAGCAAACCATTGTAGAGAATGCAATGATAATCACTCCAAGCAGCATTGTAGTCCCGGTTTTTGTATGGTGACCATTGTTTCAACACCGTCTTATTAACGATAACTTTTCTGGGTTCAGAGAATGGAGTCAATGGCTGCCGAGGCCAAGGGGCTGCTTCCTGGGGCGCATTACTCTCGCACTGAGCGGAGGTCGAACCAGCTGCTATGTCACTCTGTGTTGCCGCTTCTGCTTCTTTCTCATTATTGTTTCCTCTTGTTCTTGCCATTTTTCTACAAATAAACAATATCAAATCATTTATTTGAAGGCAAAACACATATAATAATGAAGCAATCGAGATCCTATATTTTTTTTTTTTAAAGAACAAAATTTCAAATTCATAAATCTATCCTAAAACTATGTCATCCTAACATTGAACAGAACTATAACAATGAAGCAATCGAGATTGATCCTAATTTTTTTTTTTTTTTAAGAACAAAATTTCAAATTCATAAATCTATCCTAAAACTATGATTTAAGGCATGGGGTAGGTACGAAATTGTCCCTAAACATAACTATTACACACGTTTCAAGCCAAAACACCATAACAAACTAAAAAGATTCGATTTTTCATATTTTTTTGAACTCTTAAATTGAAAATTGAGTTTAATACCTTTACAGATCGAACAAAAGAGTGATAGATTTGGACAAAGCTCGCGAAAACGTGTGGATTAGCCTCAAGAATCGTCCAAATCGGAGTAAAATTGAGTGAGTTAGGGTTTAGAGAAATTGAGAGAGAAATCTCCCCTTTTCATGGTGGAAGAGAAGAGAATGAGGGGTTTTGATCCCTCAAACACGAAATCCCCTTCTTAAATCGTGTTTGCCTGGTTTAAATCAAGTGAGATTTAAACCGAATATAACCGAGCAAACCAATGCGGGATCGATCGATCTGATCTGGGGATCGATCGATCCGTGTAGATCGATCAGGACGATCGTTTGGACTCTGAAGCAGTCGATCCTGCAATGCTCCGGCTTTTTTCAATAATCTGTTCAGTCAAGAGATCGACCGTGTGGATCGATCGTCTCATTTTGGGATCGATCGATCGTGTCATATAGACCAGTTTATCTCGTGGTTTGTGGGTATAAGTTATCATTTGTGGTAAAGGATCTACACTAAACTCAATCTTGCCGCAAGTAAAGATAGCTTAAACATCCTAAAAAAAACAAGTGTTATACAATCGCTTAAACATCCTAAAAAACACCAAAAACTTGATTATGAAATGTCAATACATTCATTACTCTTATATGTGGGAGGCTCATACTTGGACATCCTCTCTAACATCTCTGGATCATTAGCTGCTTCAAAGAGATCCCAAATAATCCTTATTCGAGCTGTCTTGATGTTATCATCATCCATCAGTGATAAATCCATTCCACGCACATGGCATTCGATGTGTTTTATAGCATATACACCACAATGACAAGCACGTCGGTTGAGATTATGCATAGGGGTATAGCTAACAGCGTAAGGACTGATGGTAAGGTGCTCATGGTTTGTCACCGACTGAACTGCCTTGACGATCCTAGGAATAAGTACTGCGAATGCTTCCACCTCCCTGTACTTCTGTAAACCCGCACAATCAAACACTTCGATATGCCTACTCACGAAACTGATGCATAACGAGATCCAGTGATTCTTTTTGACCCAGACTGGAACGTACATCCGATCCACATCAACACTCCACAGCTTTCTTGTTTTTCCGTGAGCAGGCAGTTTGCCTTTACCATATTCCTGTAGCAACACATCCATCTTGTACTTCTTCGCACCATCCCTTGTAAAACTGATGTACTCTCTTCTAATGAGGTCGCTGAACGCGCATGACATGAAAGCAACACGATCTGTTTTCCATCGCCCAAGTGTTGTTCTTTCACGGAAAACATACATCATAGCATCAATCTCCTACAATAACAAGGCTGATATTGGTAAACAGTTTATATAATACCAAAATTTTATTACAAATCAGGAGTTGGATACTTACAATGTTGTGAAGCCACAAAACTGGAGACATAACACGCTTACATATATCATTCCCTAATAAACATGGACCAACCTGTAAACTCCTGTTATCAAAAATATAAATTAGTGACAACATCATACAAAAATATAAATTAGTAATTAGCTTACGTTCTTAAGTTCTGCCAGTTCGTCATTTTATCGAAATCTTCTTCAGACACATATACCAATGGTGCATCAGGTTCGTGGGCACGATCTATTTGGCGGTCATTTAATTCTGGCCATGGTATCTTCTGTGCTGTTCCTGGATCATCGGTTTTAGGTTGAGAAGGATCAAAACCCTCTACAAATGTATCCTGTGAAAGGTCCGGAAAGCTGCTTTGCAAGTAATCTTGTGTACTCATATGCACATCAATTCCTGGTGATAGAATCAAGTTTACTCCAGATAAATCAATAAGCGGATCATCGATGATTAATTCTTTTTTTTCACAGCCTGATGACACACATAAAAAGTAATAAGGTTTTAATTTAAAATATAAGACACAACAGTAATACATATTACAAACATACCAAACTAGACAAACAAAATGTCTAACCAGATATTACATATCACACTAGACAAACAAAATGTCATACCGCCTAGTTCCAGCATCCTAGGTCCAAAAAGCTACTTCGAAACAACTAGTTCCAAGATCCAACAATCCTTAACCCTTTCTCTTATTCGTTACCTTTCTTGTTTTTGGCCCTGTGACTTTTTTGGTCTTGGCAGGAGCGCTGTCTTTCTTGGAGAAGGCAGGAACTGTGTCTTTTTGGGAGAAGGCAGGAGCTGTGTCTTTTTGGGAGAAGGCAGGAGCTGTGTCTACTATACTCTTGCTAGGACCGGTATGTTGATCACTCTTTCCAGCTATTTCGGAGAGGACTAACGTGGTCCTGAGCTGTGAAACCTCACTCTCCAACTTCCCGAGCCTGCTTGTTACCTCTGTCTCAAACTTGTCCATTCTATCGGAGACCTGTTGTACAATTTTCCCCTCAAACGCAGTAAATGAAGTTTTTAGCAAACCCTCGAAGAATTGCTTCATGTCTGTGTCAGTGCTCCCGCTCCCCTTGTTTGAAGCAGCTAGCTGGCACAACAACTTCTTCTTCCTTGCATCTGCTCCTTGGTCAGCATTCTTTCTCTTCTTTGTACCTGAATCCACATCCGGTGTAACATGACTACTCTCACCAATCTCCGTATCAGCATCGGCATCTCCTTCCTCTTCTTTCTCTTCCTCAGATTCCACCATTTCAGACCCTGGACCTCCTTCCGATACTCCCCAAACATGATTGCTCCAATCGTAGTTTCCTTTGATCATATCCACTAAGCGCTCAACTCTTTCATCTTTCTTCTCATCCTTCCTTGCAAAATCTGAACCCAAAAGAACCACTCCATCTCCGCCTACTTCGAGGAATGAGTGCAAAATCCCCTATTAAAGATTAAAATCATTAGTAAAAGGATTTAGACAATAAAACATTTGTAATACATAATTTTGAAGAGATTAAAATCATTACTAAAATAAACAAGACAATCAAACATTTTTATTAAAGAAATCTATTCATACCTTCTCTGGAAATAATGTCTCAACCCCAATGATGTCTTCATATGAACATTTTGCACATCCAGTCCAATTACCACACAGAGGACCCATGAAATCGTCTGTGACCTTCGTCCCACACATCTCTCCCAAAGCAGGAATAGCTTTCATAACCCAAACCTGGAAAGCATACAAGAACCCTTCCATCAGGTACCCCTCCTTCTGCTCCAATTTACGCCTTGCCTTTACCATCGATTTCAGTAGGAAATCATACGAGTGCAAACCCCAAGGGTACTTCCGAAGCTTCTCAAAATCCATCACCAACTTCATGTACTCAAGAGGGATATTCACCTTCTCATCCCTCCCAAAGACCACACCCATAATGACACATAGATAGACCAGCCTCACCCGATCAACAAAAGTCCAGGTGCTACAGTCATCCAAATACTTGTTTTTAATACACTGCACACTGATTTTCCCACGCGTCTTAATCTGGTTGCTCCAAAAACCACCATCATCAGTCCATCTCAATAACCCACTGGTCTTATCTTGTTTTACTTTCAAACCAGTGACAGCATGATACTCTTGCAATCCAAAACGCAGAGGCCTCCCCGCAAATGTAAACCATTTCTCATGCTTCAAGCTTGTCATCAACTCCTTACAGAGGAACGCGTGTACCACCCTTGCAGAAAACTTCAGCCGATTCTTCTCAATAGCTATAATATGCGAGAAAAGGGGATCGTTCTTGACTTCTTTGAATTCCGGTTCCAATTTTAACTGTAGAAGCTCGAAAAGTTTCATTCGGCAGCTGTTATTAATCTTCTTAGTCTGAGGTTCCAAACCTTCTGCATATAGACGCCTAGGTAACTCCAACTCCATAGCTGTAAAATAAAGATAATATATTTTAATAATCAATTTCAACACCAATACTACACATATAATAATGAAACAATCGAGATCCTAAATTTTTTTTTTTTCTTAAAGAACAAAACTTCAAATTCATAAATCTATCCTAAAACTATGATTTAAGGCATGGGGTAGGTACGAAATTGTCCCCAAACATAACCGGGAACACATGTTTGAAGCCAAAGCACCATAACAAACTTAAAAAATTCAACTTTTTCATATTTTTTTAACTTTTAAATTGCAGATTGAGTTTAATACCTTCACAGATCGAACAAGAGAGTGATAGATTCGGATAAAGCTCGCGAAAACGTTTGGATTAGGCTCAAAAATCGTCCAAATCAGAGTAAAATTGAGTGAGTTAGGGTTTAGTGAAATTGAGAGAAAAATCACCCATTTTTCGTGGTGGAAGAGAAGAGAATGAGGGGTTTGATCCCTAAAACACGAAATCCTCTTATTAAATCGTGTTTGGCCAGTTTAAATCAAGTGTGATTTAAACCGAATATAACCGAGCAAACCAATACGGGATCGATCGATCTGATCTGGAGGATCGATCGATCCTTGTAGATCGATCGGAATGATCGTTTGGTCTCTAAAGCAGTCGATCCCTTTATGCTCCGCCTTTTTCAGTAAACTGCTCATTCAAGAGATCGACCGGGCGGATCGATCGTCTGATTTTGGGATCGATCGATCCCGGTAGAAAGAGCAGTTCCTTTATCATTTTTCAAATATGGGGTTTTTTTAATTTTTTAATTTTTATTATATTATTTTATTTTTTTAAGTTTTAATTTTTTTGTTAATTTCGAATATACTTTATGATCAATTCGAAAATATTTTGTTTTTAATTTTTAAAATTTATTTAATTTTTATTTTTTTTTTAATTTTAAATACAAATTTTTAATCAAAAATAATAATTTTATTATTATTTTCTAATTATAATTACGAATTTTTAAGGGTATTATTGTCATTTAGGAAAAAATTAACCTAATGGGACAATAACTAAATGAGATTAGACTAAAGGGACAACTTCCTAATGGTTTTGGTCTAAAAAAACTATTTTCTCAGAGGAAAATGATCAAAATATTTTTTTTATTAAATGGTAAATATGCACTTATATTATTGAGTTAACTAATCTAAATTTATGATTTAAAGCTAATGGGTGTGGTTTTGGGTTTAAGGTTTCAAATTTTTTTAAAAAAATAAATAAACATTGTAAAATTCAAAATAGAAAGACTATTTTAGTCTTTTATTTTTTAAGAGCTATTTTTGTGACAAAAACTAAAAATGACTATTTGAGAAAAAAAAATGTCCTTTATAATAATTTAACCGATTAGAACAATTTCAGCTGATTTAAATGGTTTAAACTGATTTGAAACTTTAAGTTGTATAAATCAAATTTTAGGAAAATCGTTCGGATTAGGTATGGTCTAAATCTATTTTTAGAACATTATTGATTATTTTGTACCGATTTTAAGAAACCGGTTAATGTCAAAACTATTGCACGACGTCGTATTTGCCTATTTGGTGAGGAGAAGGAAGTCTAACAAACAAGAGAGGAGCGATCATCAGAAGGAGAAGGATCTCTGAGATTCCGAAGAACCTAATCTCGTAATTTCAATCGCCCCTGATCTAGGAAGCTCGATCTTCTTCGATTCGCGTTTTCATCAGCAAACAGAGAACTTCACCTTTCTCCATGGTGCTGGTACTGGCATTAGGGGATCTCCATGTACCCCATAGAGCGGCTGATCTACCCCCAAAGTTCAAATCGATGCTTGTTCCTGGCAAGATTCAACACATCATCTGCACTGGCAATCTCTGCATCAAAGTAGGGCTTTTTCCCCCCGTATTTATCAGCACCAGATCCTTCTTGTTTGATGTAATTATATGCTGATGAAAAGAGAACAAACTCTAATCTTTATGTTCATCTCATGTAGTGTTATACTCTTAGCTTGTTGTGGATTGTCCAGAAGAATTGCAGTTTTGATCATTGTTGGTTTTATATGTTACAAAGTGATAAACTCAGCACTGATGTTTCCTTTTTTTTAATTATGGGTTGAAATCCATTACGAGCTTATTGTTTAACTTGCCTGATTTATTTGTTATTATGCCTGTAAGTCTTTTTTACGCATCTTTTGACTGTTTTTTTTTTGGTTTTTTTTGCAGGAAATCCATGACTACTTGAAGACTATATGCCCTGATTTGCATATAGTTCGTGGGGAGTTTGACGATGATGCACGCTACCCTGAGAACAAAATCTTGACTATCGGTCAGTTTAAGCTGGGACTCTGCCACGGCCACCAGGTTCTGTTTTTTTTTTTTTTTTTTTGTTTTCTCTACTCTTTTGCATTTCATGATGAGCTTTACGAGTTTAGACGCTAGACTCTGCAGCTTATGAATAATCCTTCGTATCATATACAACATCTGAATTTTGCTTGCCTTGTTGGAGTTGTGTCTTCAAGTAATGAGTGCTCGCTTATTACTATTTGGATGATAATGTAATCTCTCTCTGACTGACAATATTCACCTCTCCACTCTTTACATTATCATATTGTAATACTTATGAATTTGCTTTTGTCTAGATACCTTAATCCGCGATTACCTTTTCTAATTCTGACAAGAACTATGTTGGAGTATAGTAAACCTAGAAAGTCTAGGATTTGAAAGGTTTCAGCATTGTTGATTTTTCTGTGTCAAAAGTGTTAAAACTAAACTATGAAGGAGATGCTTCTATTAGCTTTGTTCCTCTCTTAAAGAGCGTCTCTATTTGCTGGACAGGTGATCCCATGGGGTGATCTAGATTCACTAGCCATGCTTCAGAGACAACTCGACGTGGACATACTTGTAACAGGCCATACCCACCAGTTCACAGCCTACAAACACGAGGGAGGAGTTGTGATAAACCCAGGCTCTGCTACTGGAGCTTATAGTAGCATAAACCAAGATGTTAACCCGAGCTTTGTTCTTATGGATATTGATGGTCTTCGTGTTGTGGTCTATGTCTATGAGCTCGTCGACGGAGAGGTTAAAGTCGACAAAATCGATTTCAAGAAGATCTCCACTTCCAACTCTGCTCCTTAGCGTATTTTACAATCTGAACCCCGTTTTTCTTATGTTTTCGTTTGGAATCACTCGTGAAATTTGGAACTTTCTTTAGCGTGCTTGTGAAAATAATCCTTAAAGATTTGGAAATTGGACCACTGATAACAATGTTTTGCAAGTCACTTGAAGTTGATAGACCTGGTTAATGTGTTGACAGAGAAGTTAAAGCTGTTCTTTAAATTCTGATTAAAAGATAAGATTGACTTTTTCACCAGGTCATCATATTTTGAAGTTTCTATATTCAATTGTCAATAGAGAGTTCATATAACATTATGCAGTAAGCTAAAAAGGTTTTGGTAAGATGTAATATTATTGGTCTCTAGAAATTATGATCAAGCCATACATACACAATTTAGAATCTAAAAACCGGAAAATCAAGAACCCAAACGACTATGATGTAACATTTTTTCCGATTACGTGCACCATTGCGCTTGAACTTGCACTATCCACAAATTATGATCAAACCAATCATAACTTTTGTTTAATCTCAACATATACGAGGTAAGTCATCATGCTTAGAACATCTCCACAAAAAACTCTATAACCTTAGACATAAATTTTTTTACTCTCTAAAAGAAAACTTCAAAACTTCAAATTTGAAATTTCAGTATTCAAAATTTCAAATTGGAAGTTGCATCTTTTTATTTGCATTTTGGTCCTTATAATTACAAATAAAATTTATATTTCACAAATATTTTTTCGTTTATCGTTTTAATACTACAAATTTTTATATCTCATAAATATTTCAAATTATCTTTATTTTTGTATAAATTTAAGTTTTACAGATAAATGCATTAAAGTTTTAAATAAAATTTATAATACTTTGAAACTAAAATTAGTCAACAAGAGTATTACAAAAGAAACTTCATATTTGCTTGTAGTTAAATGTTTTAATAATAGAATTAGATATCAAAAATATAGTATTTTTCTTAATATTTAATTATGTATTTGTATTTATAATTTTATATTTTAGTGTAAGGTTTTATTAATTAATATTGATGTATAATTTTTATATGTGTGTGTTATTTATAAAAGTTCTATGAATTTACATTAACTATGACAAATATAAGGACTATAGTGTAAATATAAATAATTTTGAAGTTAAGTTTGAAGTTAAGTTTGAAGTTTTACTTTTGGAGAAAAACACCTTAAAACTTCAAATATAGAGTTTTAGAAACTTCAAAATAGAAAGTATTTTTGGAGATGCTCTTAGAACCTAGTTATCAAAAGCTTATTCAACTGACTGATCCATGATTATCAAATACGTATCAATTTGAAATATCAAATCTTAAAAAGTTCAGAAACTCTGTAAACGACATCTTTTTGCAGTATTTTTGATTCACGATCTTCTCTAATGCACCGTCTGTCCACGGTTACTGGACCATTCATGCCTACTATTTCGGCTCGTGGGGCCCATCCCATCTGGCGGGATGTGCATTAATTTTTCAAGGCTCTAAAGTCTTGTTTACTTACCCTACAATTATCACATGATATTTTTCCGTATTTTGGCCTCACTCGCACGGTATCACGAATCATGTCTCGATATGTCATCCATCCTTTCATTACTACAGCCAAGCACGTTTAACCATGGAGTTTTAAACAGATGTGTGACAGAAGAGGTAAGTCAACTTTAATGACATAGGTAGCAAAATCAATTCTTTTAAACCTTTCCATATATCACAACTTGGGATGTTACAAATTCACCTTGTCTCAAAGAATGCAACGTCCTCGTTGCGCCCCACGACAATTTTCAAGACGCCTCTTGGATCAGAACTAAGATGGCTAACTAGCTCTGATACCACTTATAACGTCCCGCCTGTCCACGGCTAATGGGTCACCCACACCTGGTTTCTCGGTCCATGAGTCCTATCCCATCTGGCGAGCGGTGCGTTAATTTTTCCAAGGTTTTAGAGTCTTGTTTACTGACCCTGCAATCAGCACATGACTTTTCCCCTTATTTAGTCTCACTCGCAGAGTATCGTGAATCATTTTTTTACCCAAACACGATTGACCCTGGAATTCTAAATAGATGTATGACAGAAAAGGTAAGTCAATTTTGATGACATAGGTAGCCAAATCAATTCTTTTAAGCTTTTCATATATCACAATTCAGGATGTTACAATTCTCTTTTTCTATAGAAAACTTTTCCATTCTACAGAGTAGTTGCTTCATTTTGAAGTTAATGTGTTAATTTGATCCATCTTAAATTCTTAATGACACACCAATTGATAGGAACTAGATCCACAATATGTACATAAAACAGTCAAACCAAAGTAATCCAAACTATGGGTGGCGTTTCGGTTTAATTATGGGTTTAGTTTGGATCAGTTTTAGTTCGGTATAATTTGTATTCGGATATGTTTGGTTTAATTTAGTTTTGTTTGTGTTTGTTCAATTCAGTCGAGCTGATTTTTTAGTTTTGTTTTAGTTGATTTACTAAAATATAATTTATAAAAAACATAAACTAATCATCATTTGACAATAAATTATTAGCCTCTTCATTTACATAATATTTAAATTTCGTCACAATAGAAATGTAAAAGATGTAAGTTAATAATTTTATATTAATATCTGATTTTTCATTTTTGATGTTAATGTATAAAATTCATATTTTTTATTTTATTATTTAGTTGGCGTTATTCTATTTCTTTAGAAATAAAATATATAAAATTATATTTAATTGTATATGTTAAATGGTTAAATATATTAATTAATCTAATAGAAATTTTTTTCGGTTGTTCGGTTTGGTTCTGTTTAAAACCCAACCAAATCATTTGAGCTGATAAAATCTTGAACTAAATAGTTTAGACATATATTTTGATTTGGTTTAGTTTGGGTTCGGTTGGGTGTGTTTGGTCTGGTTCGTTCTTTTTCCCACCCCTAATCTGAGCTCATATACCGTGATCCAAATCTTAAAACCAAACTAGATTTTGACCCGCGCTTGAAAAGCGCGAAAGTTTTTTATGATTAAAATTTATATAATTGGGTTTTATCTTAATTTAAAGAATGTTTTCATTAGTTTTTAGATTCAGTTTTTATTTTTAGATTTTGTTTTAAATTTTGGTTTTTGGTTTTTAGTTTTTAAGTTTCTATTTTTGATTTTCAGCTTTTGTTTTGGGTTTTTAATGTTTAGAGTCGCTGAGTTAGTTTGAACTGATATTACCAACAAACAAATTTCAATTAATCGAACATGTAATTTAAAACTGAAAAGATGACAATATAATTTTCTAAAATTTTGAAATAGTTTATTTTGTAAATAAAAAAGCAAAAAATATAACCTGTATTTTCAGCTTTTGGTTTTGGATTTTAGTTTTTAGATTTGGTTTTTAGATTTGGTTTTTGGTTTTGCTTTACACTTTTTTAATTATTTAAGAAAAATAAAACAATAAATTATTTAAAAGTTACTATTAAAATTTATCAAGATAGAGTGATTGTTATTTAAAATAAAAAATATTAACATGTTTTAACGTACATGATTTAAATAAGTGATTAATAATAGATAATTTTGTTTTGTTGAAAATATTAAATATTTTTGGGCTAAAAAATATTAACATGTTTTAAAGTACATGATTTAAATAAGTGATTACTAATAGATAATTTTGTTTTCTTGAAAATATTAAATATTATTGGGCCTGAAAATAGTAATTGATTTTTGATCCATTCAAGTGAAAAATTTATTTAATGTTTTTGGAGTTTTTCTTTAATACTAAGCCCAAAAACCAAATAATTAAATGTCATAAAAACAAAAGTAAGCCCAAAACTCTATTCCATAAATAACCGCCGGTTTAATTTAAGTAATACGGTTTAATCAACTATATAAGTTGTATTATTTGTAACACTCTAGAAATGGTTCAAATTTAAATGATAACTTGTATCGGTAGATAAAAAGAATGACTCTATTTTAATAGAATAGATAGAATAGATATAACTTTTGTTTCTTGGTCTTTGATAGCATGTTATTTCTTTTGTGAGCGAGCAATTGGGGGTTGCAATGGGCTCAGGTCATATGACCAATTGGGCCATACCTTCAAAGTGTTTCGCTTTTATCTTGTTTGCGACGAAGAGGCTCTTTTAAAAATCCTCTTCCTACCTTTTACAGTGGGAGACGAACTGATTGCTCGGTGTTAGCTCATGATCTGGCATTGATTTTGTTAATCGTTCGATAATGGCGGTGGCGACGAACCTTGCTTCTCTTCTGGAGAAGCTCAAAGTGGAGGATCCGTACCTTCCACCGCGAAATTGGGAATCCTTACTTTCCCAGAATGCTCGACCTCCTCCTCCAGCTCGTGCATCTTCTTCGCATTCGTCTGCTTCCTCTGTCTCTGTAAGTTCCGCAACGATTTTAAGCGTGGGACCTAGCATTTCGCTCTTGTGTAAATATCCTTTTGGATCGGAAACCTAATAGTGTGGTTAAGTGTCAATTCTATTGAGGTGATTTGGTTTCTGAAATTCAGTAAGGTGATAGTGTGTCCGATATACTATGAGTTGGGGTCAAGTCAATTTCTGTGGGGAAGATTAGGATGTGGAGAAACCTTAATGTGTTAGTAACGGCAACTTATTATTGAGACTAATGAAATATATTTACTTCTATATAGTCCTCTCTTAGTTTTACCTGTTGTCATGAACTGGCGTGTTATCACTTATCAAAAAATAAAAGTTTGTGTATTGTGAGACTACTTCTCCTTTCTGCCACATTTAATTACACTTTGTTTCTTGTAACAGGAATCAAGCTTGGTTAGGTTGGCGTTGAATGCTCTGCAAGGTGTTGAGTCGTCCCTTATTAGCATAGAGAAGCTCTCTTCTGTATTATGCTCTGACCCAGCTGACAGGACCACCCACAAAATTCCAAACTTGTGGCATCGTTTGTCAAGCACTGATGCATTGGGACAGATTCTTAGAAACATAGGCTGCTTTGGTTCTTTGGTTTTTCTTCTCCACAAGTTCGTAGACCATTTCACAAGCATGGAGTTGGATGTGGAAACAGCTGTTGAAGGACAGGGGAGCTATAAAGTGGGTGAAAATGAAGAAGCCAATAACAAGAGCTGTTATACCCTTGTTAATCAGGCTTTTGCTATTGCTGTGAGAAAGGTCCTAGAAGGTTATATATCTGGACTTGATACATTATGTGCATCAATAGAACTGAGGCGTGCATCGAACATCGTTGATGGGTCTGACACTGGTTCCTCTTGGCGAGGCTGCCTCACGAATGTTGTTCATCCAAAGATAACATTATTGGAAGTTTTTCTACATACTAGAGAGTTACGAACACAGATTGAAGCTCTTGCAAACATATGTGATTTGTATGATGTATCCCTATCTTATTGTGTCTCGCCTTGGGAATGCTTGATTACTGAAGCAACCTCGCGATTTCATGGGTTCTTCAGAGGAAGCGACCTGCTTACCTACTTATATACTCAACTTAAGGTCAGGCTTATATATTTTCCTACTGTAGTAGTCATTCACTTTGTTTTTATTTTTTTGGTTTTCTTTCCTGCTGCACATAGTTATCAGCTAATGTAGCCTAGAGGGACCTTCTGTGTCAGTTATTTCGCATTCACATTTTCAGAATATCGGACACTAGCAAAGTAAGTGATATGCATAGCTGAAATTAAGTGAGCATAACTCATAGTATATCGGTACTCATAGTATAATCAAATTTAGGCACCTTCTGTGTCAGTTATTGCCTCTGTTGCCTCATTACTTGTGCTCATTTCATTACTTATGCAAATTTAATGACGCAACCCTACGCAAAATTCAGTAAGAAATTTGACTGAAAGACATTAAAGAAATTTGAAAGTTGTGCTCAAAGTAAGTGATATACATAGCTTGATGCACTCGGTTAAACTATTTATAGTTAGCGAGGAGTTCGTACAATTTAAATATTTTCTTGTAACCATCTTTTACCACCATATTTCGTTGTAGGTTGCTGATCCTGCTCACAGTGCTATGCTTAAATTTTTGTTCCTCAAAACATGTGAGCCATATTGCGAGTTTATAAGATCTTGGATGTTTAAAGCCGAGCTTAACGATCCTCATAAGGAGTTCATTGTGGAATGTGTCAGTGAATCGACATCTATTTCTTGGAATAAGCCTGGCATCTCCCCAATGAAGAATGTCAGGGTAATACTCTATTCTCGTTTTCAGCATCTTTGATTTTAGTTATTTAAACCATTGATAGCAGATTGGTTCCATTTCTGCACTCTAGGAGCAAGAATTACGGCTGCTTCCATGTTTCTTGGATGGCTTCTTGGTACCTATTCTAAGGGCTGGTCAACAGCTCCAAGTAATTACAAAACTTCTTGAACTGTGTAATCTTCCTGCATGTGGACACAGAACTTACGCAGATCTCCTTCCCTGTTGGACACATTATTCTTCTACTAGTGTAGTGTACCCATCTCCACTAATTTTCAGTAAATTGCATATAGAAGTGATGGTACAGAAAAGAAGGGATTACTACAGAAGAATGCAAGAAAAACTTGGTGATCCTTCAAAAAAGTTTGAACTTTTCCTTGGACAGGTATAGTGCTTCTTTTGATAATATCTAGCTATTATTTCCGTAGTTATCGTCTTTTGGTTTATGTGTCATCATACTCTTTCATTGCTATGCTAGCTCTGACTTCATGTGGTCATATGTGGTTTTACTCGGTTGTGAAATAAAATTTCCCTTGGTAATTTGATATCTTACTACTGGTTCAGTTTATATCTTGTCTGTAATGTGGTATAGTTCGTTATTATGAGTATTGTGTATCCCGAACGAGTTTTTTATCCTACATTGTAAAACCATGATATCAAAATCACTATATAAGGAGGAATCTCTCTGATGTAGCAGGCAGCTCTCTAATTTAAACAAGACCTTAAATTGAATATACGTGCAGATCTTAAATGTATGCTACAACGTTAGCTTCAGTTTTGCATCGCATTCTAGCTTCAGTTTTGCATTTATTTTTGTTTGTTTTGTTTCTTATCTTGTATTGACATTTCAATTTAAGGTTCCTGGAGCAATATCGTTGCATTTCAAACTTGACGAGAGCTTACTAATTCCTTCAACAGTGGCAATGGACTTGACCAGGTAATCTTTCTGATTATATGTATCATAGACCCCCAGCCTGCGTGAACTGATGACATTTTCTTGGGATTTCAGTGACCAGAATGGTTCAGATTCTGATGACCAGAAAACAGAAGACAGATGGTTTTCAGAGATAGATGTGTCATGCTCATCTGAATGTTCATCGACTAGGGACTCCTCGGAAGCATCTGATGTTGGACTCCTTGATTCACCAAGTACATTAATGGGACCTTCAAAAGATTATTTATCAGTTCTACGTTTCTCTGTTGCCTCTGATGGGAATTGTAATCAGAATTTGCTTCAGCATAGTGAATCGGGTTATATAGACAATAGTTTTGTGAGGAGAGTTGAGAAGGCAGATACTCATCGCCAGTGTATGGACAATGAGCCAGAAGAGTCAGCTGACGTATGTCAGGATGGTAAATTTGGAGGGCCTCTTTCTATTAAGTCATGGCCCCTTGGTGGATTACCTAGAAATCCATTTTGTGTTGATAAGTACGCGGAAGATGACAGAGAATATCCACAAACTGATTCAGGAGCTAAGCTGGAACAGAGAGACTTAATGAATACTGATGACAGCACGCTATTATTAAACATCATTCCCACCGACGGTAGTTATTCAAAGCAGGAGAGAAACCATGATATGCTGGAAAACTGTTCCTCATCCAAATCGTATTTGTTGAAAGACACAAACGTAAACTACCCCTACGGGGCGCTCAGCTTGAATCCTGCGCTGAGATGTGATTTCTTGCGCAAGCATGGAAACAAAAACAGGAGCGGCCAGGGGAATTCATTGCCTTGGTTTGATTTTTCTGCGGTGGATAACCCTTCCAAGACGTGTCTTGCCAGGATACCTGTGGAATTTCATGTTGATTTTCACGTGGAAGCTCACAGTTCTCAGACTCATAGAAAGAGTATTTCCCGTACCAACGAAGAATGTGACATATATAGGTCTGATGTTCAAGATCCTAAAGTTTCTAGCAGTCATCTATCTTTGGATTTGCAAAGTTGCGTTAAAGAAAAAAATTCAAACGCATCTGGTGGAAGTAGATGGGAGGGTATGCTTCTTAGATCAAATAACCCCGAAACTAGCGCATTAATTGATCACAGAGAGATCCCCTCTGGCTCATTTGAATTGCCACTTGATTTTGTTATAGACAAGTGTCTACTGCAGGAAATACTTCTTCAGTATCCTTCTCGGTGATTTGGATTTATAATTTGACATATAGCGTCATTTTCGTAGGGGTGTTTTTCTCATGATAATATGTCATTACTATTCATACATCACCGTTCCCTTAACACACAAAAGATACAACTTTGTCAGTAAGCTAGCTATCAAGTTGCTCGAAGAAGGATTTGGCTTGCAAGAACATCTGTTAGCTCTACGCAGATATCATTTTATGGAACTAGCAGATTGGGCAGATGTATTTATTGCGTCCCTTTGGCATCATGTAAGTTCTTGTTATAATCCGTTCCATTGTGATGAATCTTTTTAATAACTTTTTTTTTGTGTGCATGAATATCTATAGATGATACTATATATACATATTTTCTCATATGGATTCCCAGAAATGGCTTGTTACGGAGGCAGATAAGAGAATTGCAGAAATCCAAGGGTTTCTAGAATCTTCAGTTCAGAGATCATCATGTGAACGAGGCATTTGTAAGGACAGGTTGTTTTTATACAAAAGACAAGGCTCAGTGCATCTTCCGCCATCAACCATTGGTATGGTCTTCCACATCGCAGATTGATTAATTATGCCTGTTGAATTGTTAACCTGATACTGCTGGGTGCAAATTTGCAGGAGTGCGTTCTTTTGATTTCCTAGGGTTGGGGTATCGAGTTGAGTGGCCAGTCAATATGATTTTAACATGTGATGCGCTGAAAGCATATGCTGATGTATTTAGCTTTCTGGTTCAAGTGAAATTAGCAGCGTATGCATTAACTGACGTCTGGTGTTCACTGAAGGTAGAGTAGAGGTTCAGCTTTGTTGATTCACTGCTTGTAACATAGCACCTCTTACATAACACTTTGCTGCAGTTTTCTAAATTCTGTATGGAAAATGTTAGTTGAAAAATGCTTTTATTGTTCTGCCTGCTATTTCTTGAAGCGATATTCGTCTACTGGGATTTTGAAGGTAAAATGACTATTATCTCCTTTTAGGATGCACGGCATACGATGCATGAGAATAAAGAGGGGATAGCGAAGCAAGAACTCCGGTGGTTGAACATATTGATGAAACTAAGGTAAATTCTAGAAGCTTCATACTTGCATAATTTCTTGGTTACTTATTGAGCTAAATATCTATCACGCAATGCGATTGCATGAGCTTGGTTGTATGATAATCGTATTTATTCTGGCGCATGACCATTGATAAGAGTAACAGAAATCATTGATTTCAATCTATGCAATGCATTTGCAAATGATAAATGTCTTTTTGGTAAACATCTGTATTGTTTCTTCATCATTATGCTTGTATGATACGCAGTATTTTCTGAGATGATGGAGTCTCTATGTTCGCCCTTGGTATCTTTGACGTCTTTCTTTTCTGTCCCAGGCATCAGATCAACCATTTTGTATCAACACTACAGCAATATGTACATTCGGAATTGTCTCACGTATCATGGGCCAAGTTCCTTCATTCCCTAAAGCACAAGGTGGGTATATTACACACTTCTGTGATGGCCTGCTGAAATGTTATGTTACCTGAAAGTATGATTCTTTCTTACAAGCTAATTTCTGTAACTATATATTACTGGTAGTGGTTTAACATCATCGTATATCTATTCAGAAACCAAAGTGCGTTGTGCAACCTTTAATTGAAATTTCAGTGGCGGTTTCTGCTTAGAGTGGGGGTCCTGCTTAAGATTTTTTGTCTTTGTTTTTCAGGTCAAGGATATGATGGATCTTGAGTCTGTGCATATGGCTTATCTAAATGAAGCTCTGCGCATGTAAGTCTCATTTTTTTTTGCTATCAGCTTCAAAAGTTTTGTGGCAGGGTAATTTAACTGACCCTGATCTGATGCTCTTTGGAAATGCAATCATATAATGTAACTGACCGTAATCAAACACTTGCAGATGCTTTCTATCTGATGAAACCCGAGTCATATCAAACATAATCGAGAACATCTTACAATGCGCAGTGGACTTTCGGTGTTGTCTTCCCAGAGGCGTTCAAAGTACAGCTCGATTTCCAAACGATTCATGGACGAAAACGCTAGGCATAAACACATCTCAGGTAAAAATAAGAAGACATTATCAGATACTCTTCCAGTTTTGTTGCTCGAGTTTATGTTCATCTTCACATTGAACAGGTGATAGTGGTGAAGCAGAAGTTTGAGAAAGAGTTGAAGGATCTACATTTGTGTCACATGAAATCACCAAAACATGGGAGGTCTAGGCTCTCTCGCTTCTGGGACTGCCTCAATTTCAACCTCTTTTATTCAGATATCATTCGTCGTGATTCTCTTATCTCTTAGAAACCAATGTGTGATACTAACATTCAAATTATTACTCAGTAAACCTTAAGACCCAACCGGTGCCGACCTTATGAAAGCAACATATAAAATATCAATGAGCAGTGAACCTAAAGAGCATAACATGCAAGTAGCTCTCTCCAGGACTCACAATCTGCGAGGGAAAATTCTTGTGGTTCACGGAATCGGGAAAGCCTTGCGTCTCCAGACACAACCCTGCGTACTTCTTATAAACCGCGTTCCCTTTCCCGACAACACTTGTCAGCAGATTACTAGTGTAGAACTGAACACCTGGCTGGTTCGACCACAGCTCCATCTTCCTCCCGGTCACTTCCTCCGACACGACAGCGGTTTTCCTCAGATGCTTCCCGACAATCCCGTCGATGACGTAGTTGATGTCGTAGCCGCCGGGTAATTCATGGATCCGGCTTCCGATCTCACGAGGCTCGAGGAAGTCATAAGGAGTTCCTTCGACTGAGGTGATGTCGCCGGTTGGGATGAGTTCTTTGTCAACGGGAGTGATTTTTTTGGCGAAAAGCTTGATTTTGTGGGAGAGGATGTCGCCGGAGTTGTGGCCGTGGAGGTTCCAGTATGTGTGGAGGGCTAAGTCGATCGGTGTGGGTTTGTCGAGTGGCTTTGCTTCCATTTTCAAAGCCAGTTTGTTTTCACCGATCAACATGTATGTCACTTTCACCGTCACGTTCCCGGGGAATCCTGTCATATTCAATTATTTATAATTTTATTTAACTAATATGATTGTACTACTATAATCCAAAATTTTCCAATTATTTTAATCTCGGTTCAGACCATATGATAATAAGATTAGTATGGTTGATACCTTCTTCACCGTCGAAGCTATGGTATTTGAAAGTGATGTGGCTAGTGGGAACGTGGTTTTCGACTGACCAAATCACATCGCTGAATCCCTTTGCACCACCTGTATTAACGATTTAAAACATTTTTATATTTGATTAAAAAGAAATCTATCAAAAATATAAATGAAATAAACTGAAAAGGGTACCGTGAAGAGTGTTATGGCCTTCGTTGGGATCGGTCTTGTACAATTGACCATCCAACTCGAACTTAGCACCTTCAATTCTATTAGCCACTCTTCCCACAATTGCCCCAAAGTAAGTTGTATCATTCTAACATAAAAATATCGAGAAATACGCAAATTATAAAGTATTGTTGTTGCTCCGAAACAAGATATATAACGCCTACAAGTGGACTCACCACTCTTGAGATTAATATGAAGTAGATGGAATAACGACCTATTTTCCACCATGACTATCGTATAATAAGAGATCTACACGAATTTTAGAAATCGTCCTAATTACACACAATTAAACTATATCAACATATTTCTCTTTAAAATGAAAGATCAAAACCGAATTCCCCCTAAAATTTGAAGAATGAACTAATACCAACAAATGACGGTTTAAAGTAGTTTTAGTATTCTTTGTTTTAAAACTAAACCAGTAGTTAATCTAAATAAACCTAATATGATCCGACCAATAGTTTCTATCGAATTTCCAGATTCATTACTCATCTTTTTTGGGTTTCTCTCTTTGTTTTATTCTCTGTTTTTTTAGATTTTAGGATTCCAAAAAGAGTAAATCATTTTGAGAAGATTAATAGAGGTTTGGACTGGGTTATAATCGCTTTGTTTGGGTCAAGTTGTACAAGTATAACCTGGAACTATTGGGTTTAATATCGCTTAACATTATAAACCATTAAAACCAAGCTCAATAATTGTCTGTGTGGATGCGAGTTTCGATCTTTCGTTTTAAAGAAAAATAAGTTGATATAGTTTAATTGTATGCAATTGGAACTAGGTTCAAAGTTTTTTTTTTTGTTTTTTTGTAGTCTATTAGATTATATTAAGAGATCTTAAAGGTTCAAGACATTACATCATCATCAACTCCATAAACTAAGTGCCACACTCGGCAAAACAAGACTAGGTCCAAAAGTTTGTGTTAGATTTAATTATAGTGTGTAAATAGGTCAGGAAAAATCATTTTTAATAAATGAAGACATTGAAAGACGTGACGATAAATAAGGTACTTTTGAGCCGAACATTAGGTTCTATCCAAACCATATATGCTTTTTACCAAAATGTTATAATATGAAAAAACAAATACAAAATTAATAAAAGATATTTATTACCTTGTAAGCATCAACAGTATCAAATCCAAGAACAACATCATCTTGCTTCCCTGAATGAAATTAGAAGAAAAAACAAAATCAGATCTAAGTCAGAAGAGAACAGAGACAAGAGAGGAGAGAGGAGAGAGGACAGAGAGAGAGACCATGTCTGTCTGGGAGAAGAAGAGAGGTCATGACAGCACCATAGTTTGTGAATGTAACAGACAACTTTCCTCTGGTGAGCTTATAGGTTTTGATCTGTTTACAGACACTGTAATTAACAAAACATGACAACAACAACACCAATAGAGTCTGACCCACAACGTGCAAAGACAATTGCTTGTTAGCCATTATCTCTAGATCGATTAAATTTGATGAGTGAGAGTAATGAGAGAGAAACTGAGATGGAAAGTTTGGATTTTTCTCCTTGTACAGAGTGAGTGTATTCGTATCCTATTTATATTAGCCTAGAGAGATGATATTATTATGCGAGACTTTTCAAGTTTTTTTAGTTGTAATTTCTATTTCGTAGAGGATATTTTAGTTGACTTTTATATAATCGATTTATTTCTTAAATCTTTTATATATATATATATATATATATATGTGTGATAAGTGGGTTCAAAACTTACCAATATGTTCTTTGGGAAGCTATTAATTCACAAATATCGTTAGTGAATTTAGTGAATATTTTAAATTGATGAAAAACTCCGAGTTTACTAAAAAAATGATAAATCTTTTGTTCGTCTTTTGGTCAATTAATATTTTGTTCTTTTATTTTTCCTATTTTTTGTGGTAAATGTAAAGGTATATATCTATATGACTGGTCTTCTTGCAGGATATTATACTGTTTTCTTTTTAAATACTTTTTTGAGTTGGATATCCCATGCGTAAATGCATTCACGGACCAGTTGCAATTGTATATGCTTTCTTCTTTCAACGGATAAATTTCTTGAAATGGGGTTATTAGTAGATGTTTGTTTGGTAGTATAACGTAATAAATTTGTAGTTTCCTTTGATGGAAACAATTTGTAAATCAACTCTGTAGCATCTGTAAATCCAACTGGTTATTTTACAACAACAAAAAAAAATTCCAACTAGTTATTCTTCAAGCTGTTTAAAACCAAGTAAATGGTCTCATTATTTTCTTTTTGTTCTTAGAAAATAGAAGATTTAAGAAAATAATTTTATTTTGATCTAAAGACGGGAAGTACTTTAGGCAAGTAAAGACGAAAATAGGGCAAATCCGAGTTTTGAAAGCTAGATAAAAGGGATAAGATGCAAAGACTCTCCCATATATATAGCTACCTCAAGCATGACTCATCTGATTTATATGTGTGGATGAGAACGATAACATCATGAAATTTTTGCCAAAATAATTCAATGTTAGGTGATTTTCCTGTACTCGTGAATAAATATTTACAAAATAACTAAATTATATTAATTCAAATACTCCCTTCCATGATTTATAATTTTTAAGTAATTTTATAGTTTACTTATTATGAATACATAACTTTATTAAGTATCTTTTTTTTTTTTTTGAAAAGAATATCTTTGTATTCTCATGCATGTATAGAAATATGTGTTATTGTGCTCTATAACCATAAAAGAAATTTTTATTAGCTAACATGATACAATCTTTTCTGATTTAGCTAATCGGTTATGATGGTGATGTGAATTGTTATAAATATCCCGAAAGGCTTTCCATTTGCCTATACGTATGTAGAGGAGAAATGCGTAGCTGTAGGAATATCAGATAAGAGGGCAAATCAAGTTAGAATATTGTCGATAAAGACATGGATGTTTAGTTTCATTGATCCAAGAGAATGTAACTTTGAGCCTAACAGGTGACCTTCATATAAACATTAGGAATGAGTAGACAAAAAATGTAGAGGAATAAAATTATAGGAATGAAGAGGAAAATTATTCCTTACCAATTTTGGTGAGGAATAAATTTGTTCTATATTCCTCTAAAATACAAGGAATGAAAAAGAATATAAAGGAAAACTATTCCTTATAAATTGTAAAAAAAATTGGAAGGGTAAGAAATACATTATTCTCTTTCATTCATTGGTCACCCGTTAGATCTTTTGTTTTACACATCTTATTATTTCAAATTTTGATATAATCCGGTTTAGTTATTCATATTAAACCGGTTTATGTTTTGATAGTTTACCGAAATTAATCCAATTCAAAGGAAGGAGAACTTTTTCAATGTCAAAAAATTACTATACCCATTTTTTTTTTAATTTTGAAAGTTTCACAGGTTTAATATGTTGCCAATCATTTTCATTTCTAATTAAAAGGCTAATCAACTATCTTTTATGGTTGGTAATATCAACATCAAAAAGATTACTAAAGCCATTTTTTAAATTTTGAAAGTTTTACAGGTTTAATAAGTTGCCAATAATTTTCATTTCTAATCAAAAGGCTCATCAACATTTCTAAGATTCTGGAAAAATAAGAAAACCGGTTTTTCTCAATGCTATATTCGGTTTGAAATGCATCGAATAACTGGTTTGCAATGCTATTTAACCAGTTTTTAATTAGTTTGTTCTTTAAATTGACCCATACTTATACTCAAACATGTCGAATTGCACACATGATTTTCATTACTGGCTTCGGAGCTATATAACCGGTTATTAATAATATAACAATCACCACCTATTTTAAATCAACTTGCTACTAATTTTTGGTTTCGTAGATATGTAACCGGTATTTACACCAGATTTTAAAATTTGGATTTCGTTTTTGGAAACCAGATGTGCTACTATTCCTCTCTCCTCGATGAACCAGCAAGGTCTCATGGTTTGTGGACCTTCATGACGAGTCGGTGGTTTTGTGTCTTGTCAGAACCC